CTAGCAGAGTTATAGAGTGTGGAAAACTCAAGAATCAGTAATGGGGGCTAAAAAGAACTAGTTGAATTCACTATATAAGAAAGGAATCATTCATCAAACTCCCAGATCCCCTAACCCTAACCCTAACCCAAGCAATCTAACCAGACCCTGAGTCTTACACTCTGGAGAGTATGAATTAAAGGCACTGTAAATAAAGTCATCTTGTATGATGAGAATTGAGTGAAAGTTTAAGCCACTGTATGGTAACTATCAGTTATCCACCACCCTAACTCATCCACAAGAAGCCTGGTAGTAGTCAGGTTTATTTTCTCAGGAGGAAAACCCCTTAAACAGAAAAAACAGCTGGCCTTTTTTTTTTTTTAAAAAAAAAAAAAGGACCTGAGCGTCTCTCAAAGCCAGAATCACAAGGAAAAACTATTCAAAAAGGAATATCATTCTATAAGTCCTGCTGATTAAAACAGACCTTGTAATTCATTTTTAAAGGAAAATAAAGGATTAGGGGGGTATAGACTACCTGCTTAGCATGCAGCAAGGTACTGGGTTCAATCTCTCAAGCCCCCAAAAATCTTAAATCTGAGTAGACAGACAAGGAACACCCAACATTTGAGGGAAAAAAGGTAGGAATCAGACGAAAGGTGTGGGGGATGAGACATGGACACAGATAATGCAGGGAACAGAAAAACTTTCAGAATATACATAATTAATTCCTCAAAGGAAAAGACATGCATCTGTAAAAGGACATTTTTAAAAGCTTTTAAATTAAAAAAAAAAAAAAAGACAGTAAAACTTTTAAGACTGATAAAGGAGTCAGAAAATAAGAAAAAAAAACAGAAAAAAAAAAAAAAGATTAAAAAAAAAAAAAAAAAAGTCCATTACCAAAGAACTAACAACTTTCGAAGCAGTGAAGGGCATATGTTTCCAGATTAAAGGGGTCCTTCAAGTAGGCTGGGGACATAGCTCAGTTGGTAGAGTACTTGCATGCATAATGCCCTGAATTCAACCCTCAGCACCACCAAAAAAAAAAGGGGGGGGGGGATCCATCAAGAGACCAATATAATGAATTTTTTACTAAGACACATAACTATAAAGTTTCAGATCCCCAAAATAGAAAAAATCCTAAAGGTTCAAGAAAGAAAGAAAAAAGAGAGCGGGGGGGAGAGAAGAGAAGAGAAGAGAAGAGAAAAAGAATGAACGGAAAGAAAAAGAAAAAACAGGCTTTTTACAAAGGATTAAAAATCAGACTAGGGCTGGGGTTGTGGCTCAGCAGTATCGCGCTTGCCTACAATGCGTGAGGCACTGGGTTCGATTCTCAGCACCACATACAAATAAATAAAAATAAAGGTCCATCAACAAATAAAAAATATTTTTAAAAAATCAGACTATATCCGATTTTTTGCAGAAATTCTGGTAGAAGACATTAATTAGTATAATGCCTTGAAAATTCTAGGGGAAAATAACTTCCAAATTTTGACTTCTGAACATAGTCAATTACCTACCCAGAGTATGCTCTAATAAAGATACTCTTAAATATTCTGGCTGTAATCCCAGTGACTCAGGAGGCTGGGGCAGGAGGATTAGGAGTTCAAAGCCAGCCTCAGCAACTTTAGCAAGATCCTGTCTCTAAATAAAATATAAAAAAGGGCTGGGGATGTGGCTCAGTGGTTGAATGCCCCTGGGTTCAATCAGAAGGGAGGGAAAGGAAAGGAGAGATGAGCAGAGGTGACTGGAGGAGAGGGGAGGGGAAGAGAAGGGAGGGGAGGTGAAGAGTGGGGAGGGGAAGAGAAGGGAGGGGAGGGGAGAGGAGGAGGGAAGGGGAGGGGAGAAGGAAAGAAAGGAAGCAATCAGCCCCACTCAAACAGAAGATTATTAGTATTAAAGAAAAATAAAAGCTAAAAATAAAACTGAAAGATTACCTGATGTGTGTGACTAAACTGAAAGGAGTGTTAACCTTCAGTATCAGAGTTTAAAACTGAATAGTTCATGAATGAATGAAATCAAATGACCACAAAGATTCATTAAATTTAGACACAACAAAAACAGTCTCCAAATGTAATCATATTATATAGGATGGCTCAGATATGAATTTTGTATGATCATAATAATGAAAGCCTTAGCCAAAACTTGTTATATAACCATATCTAGAAGATGAAAAGAAAAGTATGCCTCATGGAGTGGGGGCAATGTCAAGAAACCAAATTGCTATTGTCCATCATGGGACATCAAAAGAGATCTAAAATTGAAACAAGTTAAAAGATGTTAGTTTTCACATCTTATCTGTAAATACTACAGAAGGACAAGTAAAAGCTGGCAATGGCTCCTCTGGAAAGTAGAATTCTAGAAGAGAAAAGAATAACTCAAAGAACCATTTTTTTTTTTAAGTAAACCTTATAGAACTATTTCACTTTATTCACGTACATGTATACTACCCTAATAAAAATTTAAAATCATGCTCTTAATTTTTAAAAATCATTCTTTAGAATATTTCACTAGAAAACATTCACAGTTCACAAAATAGAAGATTGTGATCAATAAAAAAAGATACTGCAAAAAAATATAAGTGTACACACTAAGAGTAGTTTGCTCTGGAGTAGCAGCATTATCATTTTCATTTTCTTAGGTAATTCTCATTTTGTAATTTTAAGAAAGTAATTTTAAGAAGAAACAGAAGGCTAATAGATCTCAAAGACCAAAGAATTAAAATATTGATTCTGGTCCCAATAAGTCATTCAGGACCCACTGTAAAGTTATAATTAATTTGCAAGCTCTATAATTACTATTAAAACATTGGGTATACAAGAAACAAAACAATAGTAAGATTCCCAGATCAGAAGATATTCTGTTTTTCAAGTATACTTAAATTTTTAAAATATTATGTCAGTACTCAAAAAGTTTCAGATTTTGTAGCACTGAAGATTTGGATTATGTGCCTATAGTCCCAGCCAGTCAGGACGCTGAGGCAGGGTTGCTTGGGCCCAGGAGTTTGATGGCAGACTGGGCAACAAACAAAGCAAGCCCCACCCCGAAAGAAAAAAGATTCACATTAGGGATGATCAACCAACCAGTAAAGTATATGCAAATATTCCAAAATCTGAAAACCTCCAAATCTGATATACCTCTGGTCCCATACATTTTCAATAAGAAATACCCAAACTGTACCAAGAATACTTGGCTCAGACAACTGATTGCTTCTTCAAAACTCTGGGTGGAGAGATCACTTTCTAAACTTAAAAATAACCAAAGAAATGAAAAAACGAAAACAGCTTAATACTTCTCTACATTCAAAAAAGAACTAAGATTAAAAAGAAAAAAGTATCAGGTAAAGGGAAATATTTATTCTAATGGTGACAATGTAAAAAATAACACTAAAACTGGACCTAGCACAACCACTTGTAACTACAAAAGTTGTATTTGGTCCACATACAAATGCTTAAGAAAAAAAAAATACTGGAATGTTTATTACATTATAATATGCAAAAATTGCAACTAACTCAAGTGTTTACTCATCAAACTTAGACTTCATACAATGGAATAAAATCAACAAAACGGATGGAATGCCACAAACTTGATGTTAACTCAAAGAAGCAGATCCAGAATATATACATAGTGTTCCATTCATATAAGTACAAAAACAGGCAAAACTAACCCAAACTACTGCAATTCAGAAGGGGTTATTCTAGTGAGACTATGAATGGAAGAAGAGGGCATGAGGGGAACTGCTTCTGAATGTTTCATCTGAGGTGCTAGTTACATGGGTATATTGAGATTTCAAGCTTTTTTAAAAAAGAGTGGTCAATAAGCACATTAAAAAAATGTTCAACATCATTAGAGAAATGAAAATCAAAAACCACAGTGAGGGGACTGGATAGAGTGCTTAGCATGTATGAGACCTTTGTCTTCATGTGTAGCACATGCACGTGTGCGCACACACAAAATTTTTAAACAAAACACAATGAGATACTACTTCACACTCAGGAGGCTGACAAGACAAGACACACACACACACACACACAGTAACAAAGCACTGGTGAAGATAAATTGCTGGTGGGAATGTAAAATGGCATAGGCAAAGGGGAAACCAGTTGGCTGGTCCTCAATCAACTAAAAATTACTCTGTAAAGTAACAATTCCAAGTTAATGTCCAAAGAAACTGAAAACAGGTTCTCAAACACTCATATATAAATTTTGAAAGCCGCTCAATTCACAATACTCAAATAGTGAAAACAACCCAAAATGTCCATCAAAAGACGAATGAATGATCAACATGTAAGACATTTCATTATGGATATTACTGAGCCATAAAAATGAATGAGGTGGGCTGGAGTAGTGACTCAGTGGTAGAGCACTTGCCTAGCATCTGTGAAGTACTGGGTTCGATCCTCAGCACCACATAAAAATAAATAAATAAAATAAAGATATTGTGTCCCTCTACAGCTAAAAAATATTTAAAAAAAAAAAAAAGAATGAGAACTGGGGTTGTGGCTCAGCAGCAGAGCGCTCGCCTAGCATGTGTGAGGCCCTGGGTTCGATCCTCAGCACCACATTTAAAAAAAAAAAAAAATTAAACAAAGGTATTGGGTCCAACTACAACTAAAAAATAAAATTAAAAAAAAAAATGAATGAGGTACTTAGGCTTGCTATGAAAAGGATGAATCTTGAAAATCTCAAACACAAGTCACAAATTGTACAATTTCATTTATATGAAATGTCCAGAACACACAAAACTATAGAGACAGAAAGTAAATTAGTGGTTGTCAGGTACTGATGGCAAAGAAGGAGTAAAAAGTTGACTATTTAGACTGGGGATGTGAAACCCTGGATTTGATCCCAGCACTGAAGGAAAAAAAAAGAAGAAAAAAAAGCAAGCTGATTTTTTAATGGGTAAGGATTCCATTGAGGGTGATGAAAAAGTTCAGATACTACTGCACAACACCGTGAAAACACTTAGTAACACTTTATTGTAGACTTTTAAAATTATTACCACGGTAAATTTTCTGTTATCTGTGCTCGATTTGGCATCACATATACTAAAATTGGAACGATACAGAACAGATTAACATGGCTCCTGCACAAGGATGACATGTAAAGTCACGAAGCTTTCCACATTTTTAATGGGAAAGACAGAATGAATTGGACATAACTTTCCTATGTTCATATGAGTACACAACTAGTGTAACTCCACATCATGTACAACCACAAGAATGGAAGTTATACTCCATGTATGTATGATATGTCAAAATACATTCTACTCTCATGTATAACTAAAAAGAACAAATTTTTTAAAAAAGAAAACACCTTTTTTCTGTTATCTGTACTTTACCAAAATTCAAAACTAAAAAGAAAATGCCTAATGCTGGCCAGAATATATACCTTTTCCATATATCACTAACTTCAACATAAACTGAAATTAATCCATTTTGCCAAATATTTAGGCAATAAATATTAAACAATTCATATATTTGCTCACAATAAAACACAAAAAATTTTAGATACAAAGCTCATTAAAATATTTAACAGTGGGTTAGTGGTAGATTTCAGTGGTGGTGCATACATACTCAATACCCAACATCAAATTAAGGGGCTGGGATTGTGGCTCAGTGGTAGAGTGCTCACTTAGCAAGCAAGAGGCACTGGGTTTGATCCTCAGCACCACATAAAAATAAAATATTGTGTCCACCTAAAACTAAAAAATATACATATATATTTAAAAAAATAATAATTAGAGGCTGGGATTGTGGCTCAGGGGTAGAGCCCTCACCTTGCCTGGGTTCGATTCTCAGCACCACATACAATTAAATAAATAAATTTTTAAAAATTTAATTAAAATAAAGTAGTTATAATAGAAAAAAGAAACATAAAAGCCAAACTATCAGGAATGAGTAAGTAAATCACAATTCATTAATAAAATTAATAATGCCAACACTAAAAATGTCAAACTACAGAAGGCAAACACTCAGAAATGTTTACATTAAGAAGCAGGCATGGGGCCTGGGGTTGTAGCTCAGTGGTAGAGCACTTGCCTAGCATGTGTGAGGCACTGGGTTCAATTCTCAGCACTACATAAAAATAAATAAAACAAAGGTATTGTGTCCTCTTACAATTAAAAAAATTATTTTTAAAAAAAGAAGTATGGAAAAAGCAAATTACAAATTCTATAAACACAAGTCAAACTATGCATCCAAAAAAACTCAAAGTATGTTTAATATGGTTCTGGTATGGACATTTATTTTCTTTCCACTTTGTGTTCCTTGAAAAAAAAAAAAAAAAAAACTCATTTTTATCTCAGGGCCTTTAGAATTGCTAACATCGTCCATCTGGAGTTCTCTTCCCCCTGCTCTCCACATGAATGCCCCTCATATTTTGGATTAACTCAAACATCACTTTCTTAGAAAGGCCTTCCCTAATCACCCCAACCAAGTCAGGCCTGCCCCCGTTGCCCACCTTATCCTACTACACATTTAATCTTCTAAACACTTCAAACAACTTTTAAAAATCTTTTCCCCTTTCCCCTAAAACAATTAAGACAATGTCTGTCTGTCTCTGTCTCTCTCACTCTCTTTCTCTCTCTCTCTCTCTCTCTCTCTCTCACACACACACACACACACACACACACACCCTTACCTTGTTTATTTACATATCCCCAGGCCAGAGAATAGTGCTTGCTAGTAAAAATGTTTGTCAGGCTAAGCAATAAATACTTGATTAATTAACTTGTTCCTTCTACTTTCCCTTAGTAAATTTTCTGTCATAACCACATATTACTTTTATATTTTTAATTATAATATATAACTAGGTCAATGGACAAATACCACTTTTTTGTTCATATTTTTATTAGTTGTTGATGAATATTTGTTTATTTATTTATTTATATGTGGTGCTGAGAATAGAACCCAGTGCCTCACACATGTTAGGCAAGTGCTCTACCACTGAGCCACAAACCCAGCCCCAGCAAATACCACTTTTTGTGCCAAAGAAAACAGCTAAATTTGCTGAATATCCCCTAATAACAAATCAAGGATCTGGTTTTCAGCCATAACAACAACCAAAAAGAAAAAAACTTACTCATGAAAACTTCCAAATAAAGAAAAATGTTATAGAATAATTTGTAGCATATTTTATTAGATAGGAAAAAACAAAAGTTCTTCCTACTCTCACATACCACTCAATACTTGACACCAGATTTTCTCCTAGACACCAAGTGAGTGTCCTATAATTTAATTACTTCTGACATTATCTACCTCGATTGTCCCCAACCTCAGATGCTAATCCCAAGTCCCAAATTTAAAAAATGAACTTGTTTCTGGGCAACAAACTACTAAATCAGGATTCCCACACTTCCATCCTGGTATTTGGTTAATTTGTCAGTATAGTTCAAAGAGCTCAGAAAAAACTTTTACTTATGTTTACCCATTTATTACAAAGGATATCTTAAAGGATACAACTGGTCACATGAAGAGATCCTATATATGGCCAGGTCTGGAAGGGTCATGAATGCAAGAGCTTCCACATCCGTGGAGTTAGAGTACATCATCCTCCGGTACCAGTTCGTGCTTGTTCACCCACCTGGAATCTTTCCAAACCCTGCCTTTTGGGTCTCTTATGTAAGCACAACTGATTAAATCATTGGCTACTGGTAATCAGTCCATCTGGAGTTTAAGTTCATAGCTTCTCTTCTCCCTGAGGTGTGAAGTGAGGCTGAAAGTTCCAATCCCCTAATCATGGGCTGATACCCCTGGTGACCAGCTCCCCCTGCCATCAGTCATCTTTTTAGCACACGAAGAGACAACACTTTGGCAGTTCAAGAGTTTTTAAGTGCTCTGTGCCAGGAACCAGGGACAGAGATCAAATACATAGTTTTATTAGTTTACTTTAGATTTTTAGGTTTTGTTGTTTTTGTTTGTTTGTTTTGGTAATAGGGATTGAATCTAGGGGGCATTTTACCAGAGTTACTATTTTTTATTTTTAGACATGAGTCTCCCTAAGTTGCTGAAGCAAAACTCAAACTTACCATCCTCCAATTCTCAGCCTCCCAAATTGCTGGGATTACAGGCACGGACCTCTTTACCTGGCTATCATTCTTATTACATGAAGCCTACCTATTCTTCTTATTATATTGCAATATCACAATTACCTACTTTTAGAAGCTTAGAGACCTGTCTCAAATTTCTAATTCCATAAAATACTTTCTCCATCATCAATCTTACCTCTATGCTACCACCACATACCAATTCTCCCCACCAAACAGAAATCTTGAGTATTATTTTTAAATAGTCACATCAAAGGCCTGAGAATTATTTTACAATTCATTGGAAACAATGATAACATTAACTAAAGCTGAGAACATTTTAAATAGATTTAATTTTATTTTACTCATACAAGTTACCTTCAAATTAAAATATTCAAATTAGAATATACTAGAAAAGCAGACGTAGTTTTACTACAGATCAATATAGAAAAGCAGACAGTCTATGATCTGTAGTAAAATGTAGTTTCACAAGTACATAATCATATATAGTACTCAAGTTTTAGAGATGCTCAAGTGGTAAAGTCTATACAAATACACCAAATTCAAAAGAAAAGAAAAAACCTAAAATCTGAAATACTTTTGGTCCTAAGCATTTCAGATAAAAAAATACTCAACCTGTGTTTACAACTATACATTACATTCATACATAAAAACTAAAGAGGGGAACTGGGAATTCAGTTTTGGGGGGTTTTGTTTGGTTTTGGTTTTGTTTTTTTGGAAGAGAAAACATTATTTTTATGATGAAACAGCTGGCTATGCTGTTTAATAATCAAAAATGATATCACCAATCAGAACTACAAAATTAATCTAAACATCCCTAGAAGGGATAATAAAACATAAGTATTCCAAATTTACTAATGTTTGGGAGAACTGGGCCCATCCACTAAATTGAGGTTGAATAACCCTCAGCAGTTTGAGCCAAAACTTCAGCTGGCTTCAGGCCAACAATAGCAACCTTGGGCAAAAAGAACAGGACATTTCCATCTGTCAACCTAGAGCTAGATGAAATATAGTAGTTTACTAATAACTGTGGCATCAATTCTAAAACTGAATTTAAGTTTGAGTCATAAAATAATAAGAAAATAAGCAAATGAACATTGAAACCCTTGTTCATTACCCTTCCATCCAGGCTCACCAAAGGTCATCTAGATCACACACACACACACACACTCACACACACACACACGTACAAAAACAAAACAAAACAAAACTCCTAATATAGCTTGTAGGTCGAGCCTAAATAGAGCCTGGAGTTATAATTCTGTCTCAGGATTCAGATTCATTATCTCCTACATAAAGGTCAGTATATACCCAATTAAAAGCACCCATTGCAGATTCTTTTATCTGCAATATTAAAATAGGCATTCACAGCCTGTGAATGTAGCTCAGTAATAGAACACTTGCCTAGTATGCTCAAGGCTAGCCACACAGTGCTAAGTGGGCAATGGTCACTGACAATTAGTTTCTTCTCTAAGCTCTAGACATAAAAGGTCATATGTATGATCCATATATGCAATCCCAACACACTAGCCCATAGTAAGATTAGTAATCAGGCCAGGTACCCTGGAACATACCTATAATCCCAGTGGCTCAGGAGGCTGAGGCAGGAAGATCATGAGTTCAAAGCCAGCCTCAGCAAAAGCAAGGCACTAAGCAACTCAATAAGACCCTGTCTCTAAAAAAAAATGCAAATTAGGGATAGGAATGTGGCTCGGTGATTGAATGCCCCGGAGTTCAATCCCCAGTACCATTCCCCCAGCCCCCAAAAAGATCAGAATCAGCCAGCTAAGTAACTTTTACTATTAATGCTTCTACGGGTTATTAGAATTCATATTCCACCACACCATATGGGAAGTCATGTTTGATGCTCCCACCTAAATGTTAGAAGGCCTTGAAAGTCTCTACCATTCCCAAAATAGTTAGATAATATACAATTAATTTTTAACACAAATGTTCTGCTACAACCAACTTATGATAAATTCTGGGCAAAAAACAAGAAAGGCAAAAGTAACATTTTTAATTTCTTCATAAACTGTCAAATACTCTTACAGGGAAGTTCCCTTAAAAAGAAAAGGTATCAGAAA